TAATTAAGAAGAAGAAGTTGTATCTCTTGATTTTATTGAAGAAATAACTACTGAATCTTTAGAGAATGCTAAGATGTTCTTGTATCTTAATAACTTATAACAAATAGATGCACCTATCTAATACCTAATTGAAGTTACAAATAACATGTAGAATGATCAAGTTCTTTATTTGAGAAATCAAATTTATAATGAAAAACTTGATCTGTTGACCTTTCTCTAATGTTATTATTTTATTAAAGAAAGGTTAACCAAGAAACCTTAGAAATCTGATACTAGAGAAAAAATATATATCATTTTTACCAAAAATGATTATCATTATACATGGAAGATAACTACCTGTACATATTGATTATTCTATACTAGAAAGGTATATAATTTGTTAACCTTTAGTCATATTTCTGTCTGTACTCTAACCAAGTTATCAGACAAAAATTTATAAACTTTAATAGAAAAAACTTATGTAGTAAGAGAATATGAAGTAGTAACATTGTTGAAAGGCTTAACACACTTTGCAGAAGCTCAGAAATAAAAAAAAGAAGTATGTTACTATGGTCATGTGAAGAAGGTGTGATACTAGGCAGTGTGAAACTTAGAATCAGTACAAGCCTTATAATGGTAAATAGAATTTTCTAAATTTGTAAATACTTAACCTTTTGTAATTGAAGATCATAACTGAATTAGTATAACTATACCCAGACCCTGTAATAGTTCTTAGTATCGAAACCATGGATCACTGAAACTAATTAAGGATAGTGTTAGTGAGCAAAACTACTAGTTTCATAGATCAAAAGATTCAATTATCGTACTTACTAATAAATCGAAAGGTATAAAAGCAGAGCCTTCGAGCCTTTAATAAAAGTTAGTAGTTTCAATGTCTTAAATGGTAGAATAGAAGAATCGATTGCTCAAGTGTTTAGATAATTTTTGTTGTTAGAATCTTATTTACTTAATAAAAACTGTTTAATAACCCTTATAGTGAGAAATCCGTTAAAATCCCTATTACTTCAAAGTATCGTAATCGTTATACATAAACTTTAAATTAATTACTCCTTCATTAATTACATCAGTTACGTCACTGAATTGATCCAATAAATTAAAATTATTACATAAGTGTGACTATCACTTAAATTGATTAGTAACCCGATCCCGCATAAATTAGTTAACCGATCCTTATTAAATTATCGATTCACGTGAACAAGCCACCCTACCGATAGTACTATATTACCCTACTCGTAATAACTTTTTATTAAGGTTCACTATTGGAGTTAAATTGGATGAAATATTTGCTATAGCTCTCCCAAACAATAGTAACAATACACACGTTAGTACACAAAGTCACAAAGTAGAAACATCCAATCAGATGCACAGAATTGCAAACTCCACTTAACTTGCCAGGAAACCATACCCTCCGTATTTCATACTCCGTTCTTGGTAAATATAAATGAGATAGCACAATATTTAGACCGTCATTTATTAGTTGTTATTATATTATGTTTTGTACTATGTTTTGTACTATATCTTACATAAATCTTTTTTTATGAAATGGATCAACATATGTCCAGAAGTAATTCCGACCAGTCAAATTCTTTAAAAGTGCCAATTTTAGTAACATATATTTAGTATTCAGGTTGATTGGTAAATATAGCAGTCATTATTAATTTCTTATTGTACAAATTTAGTATTTAGTCCGATTTATTTTGTTAGTGTGAACCGTTTACTACGCAAATGTTTAGGGAGGGGATCACTAATGACAAGAAATTACGTAATAAATGGCACACCCCCTAACCGGCAATTTTTTAGGGGAGGGATCACTAATAACAAGAAACTATGTAATAAACGGCACACCACCTAACCGAGGTATTTATTTATCCCTTCTTACAAATGCTATTTAACCAATTGATCGATTCGATCGGTGAAAATTATATTTATAATTTATATATGTTTGATAAAATCCTCGTGGCAAAGCCATGGGCAAAAAGCAAGTGGAATTAAACATACTCTTCCTTGCACTTGTTCCTAGTATAATAGTGTCACGGGGTTAAAAGTGACTTTCTGAAATCGGCGTAGTAAATCCCGTGATTATAGGACTCGAGAATCGAGAAGCTGCGCCAAACGATCAAGGGTAATCGTAAATGAGGCTTGGACGATGTTGTCATAGCAAAATGAGGCTTAACCATCATACGATAGTAGTGTCATGAGTAAACGAACATGAGATAAATGACTTTCTTATTATACGCGATTATGTGTTAGAGAAACATACGTCCTTATGCTGAAATAATCCCTTTATTTATTAAGCCCCTTCGTAGAATCGCATGATTAAAAGTCTCATCATAAAATTAGTTATTAGTAAACCTCCTTGATTTATATAATTGTAATTTTATTATAAAAAGAGTAAAAGAAAGTAGAAAAAAGGGCAGGTAATTAATCGAAGAATAAAAATAAAATTAATAAAATTCTAAAACCTTCCATTAAACTTTTTATTTTGCTACATCACTATTGTCACGCATCTGGCGAGTTATCTTGATTTTCCAATTTTCTGATATAAATATCTAACGTTCGTTTATTTGATAATTTATTATTCTGTACAAATAAAACATTTATAACGTAGAGTATAGCAGATGTTTGCTAAAATTAGAATAAATATGATTGGCGACAATTTTTTTTTTTATACAAGATAATTTTTAAAGTAAAAAAACATCATGCCTAGAGATGAGACACTGCGCGGGCGGAATTTTCCGGAAGCCCGGAATTAGTCGGAATGTCGCAGAATTTAACAATTTTGTCCCGCATTAGCCGTAATGCAGGCCTGTGCAGGCTGCGCAGTAGATTCGAAAAATCCTCGATTTTCCCATCTCTAATCATGCCATATTAATTTTTTTGTAACAACAAACTTGTGTTGTTAGTACATTAACTTAAGACTTATTATTTTTGACCTGGGATGCAGTAGGAAGCAGAGTTTCAAAAACTAGATGAGAGGTGAGTAAAGGTCGCAAGATGTCTCAAATAGTTCTGCTTGCCTAATAAAAAACCATACTTTAATATATATATATATTGTTATAATATTTAAATTACAGTGTATAACGATAATGTAATTTATAAATACAAAGTTTATAGTGGCAATGGTTAGAAATGTTCGCGTATCTTAGAATGATGTATTATGAAATTTAATTACAATATTATTTATTATTTTTTTTTTTTAAATATTAATGGTGAATATTATTTATTATATAATTAATGTACTTTAATTATACTTAGTAATAAAATTTCATCTGGCTATGACCAATACTTTATCCGGGGTACGATCGACATTTTTTCCGAGTATTTTACTTCTGATATGATACGTATTACGTAGGACAGCAAATTAAACTCCTGAGGTATGCAATCACGTTCGTAATATTGCATCAAAATTTAACTTTGTTCAATTTTTGATACTTGTGAGCTAGCGCTAGTGTTTAGATTTCATCGATTTTGTTACCGTCCAAAATCCAATCCAATTACTCGCCAATGACACACTATCTATTCTTATATTCTATATGCAGTAGTTGACGAAAAAAATACTACTCATTAATGTGTACAAGGGTTACATTTATGATTTTGCAAGCTTACACTAAGATACACTTAGTAATTTGTCAAGTCCTGTTTCAAGTTTACAGCCTAAACGTTGTTACATCCACTTATTAATTTAACGTTAAGAAATGTGCAGGATGGTTCTGTATTACTTTGCCAGTAATCATTTCACCGACAACTTATTTAGGCGACATCATCTCAAATGACAATTTACTAACAAATATGTATCTAAACTGATAACATGTTAAATTATATAGTTAGTGTAAAATTATTATTAAAAAAAATGTTAAACAGTACATGCAATAAATTATAAATCTAATTCGATGAAGTAGATGACGTTTTATTTTAAATAATTTTATTTATTATCTGATAAATTTAAGTTAATGTCCATTGTTATTAAAAATAATAATTTCATAAATATTTTAATATACTTATTTTTTTTTGGAGTGACAAAAGGGAAAAACCTGTAAATCATTCACTCAATGAGTGAAATAATTTACAGGTTTACCTTTTCGTCATTCATTTCTGAGGTACGCTATTTTTTTAATTTACGATATTCCTTAACGTTAATGTTATCATTTTGTGCTACTCGCATATGCAATAAATTTTGTCACTTGACACATTTTACCAAGGTGCGTTTTAGTAAATGTGAAAATTTTTATCAAGGTGAATCAGAGCAAAACAAACCCTAAAATTATTCACATATATATAAACCATACAAGCAAATTACCAGTAAATTATTTGAATCAGATTGAATCTCTTAAATTATTATTCTACAAACATATTAATGACTTCTAACGAACCTTTAAAGTCAACAAAGGATTTACATGTCCTTATAGCTAAATTATGTATACCCCTGAATATTATTTCTCTCATTTCTTCTGTTGTCTCATGCGTGACATTTGTCTTCATACGAACATACTATCCTAAACACGCGAATCGTGTTTCATTTCGTTTAAGTTTCGCGGCCCTATTCTGTGATATAGCCTATTCTGGTCATCTTTTATTTAGATATTTTTGGGTGCCTACTCCCGGTTTTTTGTGTGTATACCTGGTAAGATATTATTAGCGTTCTCTTCTTTTTTGATATCCAATAGCTTTTTTAATTTCTCAATTTCTATATAAAGACTTGGGTACTCGTATTTCTTGCTCTTTCTTCACTATTTTTTATCGTTTGTATAGCTTTGGTATGTATTGTCGCAGCTGATGCTGTAATTTGGTTGAGTTGATGTTTAAGGTTAGAATTGATATATTTTCAAATCACGACCCAAATTTCAGCATCAGCCGCGACATGTATTATAATTATATTTTACTGTTTTTTATATGTGTTTGTGTATTTATTTTCATATTTCAATTTTTTTTAAAAAATTTAGAACCTTCATATAGTGTTTGTAAATGAATATAGAAGATATAATTTTGAAAATTATTATTTTATGTTTGCATTTCCTTTTGCTCTTTTTCTCTCTCTACTTCCTGTTGTCGCTAATATATTTGGTTATGATGAACGTCTTGGGTATGTATAGTATTATACTATTATATATGTACGTACGTACTATTTCTAGGGTCTGTGACCAGGTACGTGCCTATGCACAACAGGCATGTTTGGGCATGGTTAGTGATTATTTCCACAATTGTGGCAAACATTTCTAATTTTAGTATTTCCACAACTGTGTGTACAATTTATGCAAAAGTTTCATTTTTGACATCCTGAAAATTCTTGCATCAAAATGTTCCTTCTGCCTAAATTTTGAATTAATAAAATTGTTAATGGTCAATTCCTCAAAGTTGAGGAATTAGAAATAATTCACTGCATCATTAGGCACGGGCATTAGTATTCTACCGCATTACTAACGATAGTATATATTTGTTTATTACATAACTATAAATTTTTTTGGTTGTGCCTATAGATGGTGGTATAATTCAAACATGGAAATTTTAACAATGAAAATGATTAGTAATCATTGTTATAATTTCCTTTTTTGAATTCTACCACCATCTATAGTTGTGCCCGAAACTATGTTTCGACATTTTATGCCCATACTCCTAATAGTGCCTAGCACTTTGTGCCTTGCTTAGACCTGATTTATTTTATTTCATATATTCATATTGATTAATGCCTATTACAGTGGTTGTTGGTATCGTGGTTCTGGTCAACATTCTATTTTCATATGGGAATGGGTTACTTTTTACGGTTGGATATATGCATCTATATTGTATTGTGCGATCGTTATTATTATGGTCATTGTGAAACTCCACTTAGTAGCAAAACAAATCGATACTTTTGATTTTTCTTCGACTTCTCGGTCATCTAGTCATCCCCCCTTAATTAATAAGGCTATGATTTCATCTGTTGTCAGAAGAGTCATTTGGTATCCTGTGTTGCCGTTAGCTCAAATTTTTGGCGGTATCAATGATACTTGCTATTATGTTAATTCTTATGTCCCTTACCCACTTAAGTTCATTTGCGCTATTTGCTTATCACTTCAAGGTATTTACACGTTATATATATATGTTTTTTTCTTTATTATTTTAACGTTCTTTGATTATTGGTTTTATATATTACGCCTTAGGATTCTTGAATGCTTTAGTATTTGCACAAGATATTGCAGTTACTCGTACTTTCCAGGCTATTAAACTACAATGGTGGATCTCCATCGTTAACTCTTATGAGTCTCATTATCCTCATAAATCTTACAACAAAGCCATTGCACTAGTAAAATCAAATGATCTAAATTACAATAATGCTGATATCATTAAAAGCGATATGATTAATGACGATGTTATTGAGAATAATATTATCAACGAAGAAATTAATAATAAAAATTTTATTAATAAAAATAATAACATTTATAATAGAGCTAATAATAGTATAGTTACACAACCTTCTCTCTTAGAGTGGTTAAGATACATGCTATTAATTAAACTTTTCTCTCCTCCAAAAATTCGACCTCGAGAAATTTTATCTGATCATTTATCATCGATTAATCCCTTTGGTGACAATGAGCCTTCTGTTCTTGTTGATGAAGGTCAAGGTATTAAACCTGTTCATTTAAAAGATTCTCACCAACATTCCTCATCATCTTATTATTTTAAATCCGTCAATTCATCTGAACCATTAATAGGTAGTTCTATTGAACCAACAAAAAGAATATCAAGAATATCCGAAGAAATTGAAACAACGTTAGAAAGACTTTAAAAAGTTTTTCTATTAATTTCTTTCAATTTATTGTAAAAAAAAATTTTATTTATGTTATGCATTTGCTATTAATAATATTGTCAGTATATTTGTAGAGATCGGAACCGGTTATTATGATTCGACTTTAAATTCGGTTTAATTCGGGTTAATAATAAACCGGTTTATAATTACCCAAAACCGGTTATAAAACTCAGACCAACCGGGTTTTAAAATCAGATTCGGTTTTATTTTTATCCCGATCCCAATTTCAAAAATTGCATGATCTTTAAAACGATATATGATAAATTTTTATGAAAAGCATTATTATGTCACTATTCGTTATTTCTGCTATATATTGATAAATTGAATCAATTTTTATTTATGTCATTATTCGTTATTTCTTTAATAGTGTTATATTGATAAATTATATTAATTTTTATTATGCATTATTTATGTCATTATTCGTTATTTCTTTAATAGATAAATTTTATCAATTTTTATTATGCATTATTTATGTAATTATTCGTTATTTTCCTTTATTAATAATGATAAATTGAATCATTTTGTATTGCTTATTAATAAAGAAAATGAATCGTTCAGAATCTCTAAATTCGGATAGTCAATTTTCTACAATAAATTGTTCAGAATCTCTCAATTCAGATAGTCATTTTTCTATAATGGACCATTCAGAATCTTTAAATTCAGATAATCAACCTTCTGATTCCTCTTTTACCAATGTTAATAATGAAACACCAAAAAGATAAAAAACTCATTATAAGTCACGATCAAACCAAAATCATACAACTTTTTTTTTGAAAAAAGTGAAGCTGATCCTCAAGTTGTTTATTGCAAAATTTGTATTAATAATTTTGCTGACAGCAATAAAAAAACCCCATCCTTATATAAAAAAAAGCAGAAACATCTCTAACTTAATTGGTCATTTACGAGATAAACACAATATTACCAAAGTAAATTATCTCGAATATATGGACATTGATGATGAAGTAACATATCTTCTAAATAAATTATTAAAAAATTTTAATTTTATTTATTAATGTTTTATTATTATTTATTAGTTAAAGGATCAACTTATCAAAATACACGATATAATATCTTATTGCATGTCAAAACAACAAGAGCTTGTAACTAACAAGTTGATTACCTTTCTTATTAAATTTGTACAATCATTGTATATTTTGGAAGATGAATCATTTCAAGATCTAATAAAAACTTGTATACCTAAATACAAATTTCCTTGTATAAAAATAACAAAAGATATATAATTCACTGTAAATATCAATTAAATAAAAATCAATTGAAAATTATATTAAATACAAATGTAGAAGTAATACACTTAACTACAGATTATAGACAGCAAAGTCTCAACATAGATATCTTGGAATAATTACTACTTGGTTAATATCTGAATTTAAATTCTGGAAAGTTCTTCTAAATTGTGAACATTTGCCCTATCCATATTTTGGTGAAGTCATTAGTCACAAATTATATAAAGTAATTCAAAAATAGGATTTACAAAATTCAGTCTTGGTTATAGTAACTAACAATGGATCCAATATGATTTATGAAATAAATATACATATTTTTAGAAAATTTTTGTTCTCAAGTTATTAGACAATCATGTGTTGCACATACATTGAAACTTTTTGTATAAGAGGAACTTAAGCAATGCAAAGATATTTATTAATAGATAAAAAATTTACAATCCTTTTTTAGATTTTTAAAACAAGCAAAAAGGTTTTGACTTGCTCAAAATGAGTTTAATTTATCTTAATAATATACTGAAAATCTTAATATAAATTCATTGAAAGTTCTAGATAGAATTTAATATATTATACTTGAAAATGTATTTATAAACTTCACAATGCTATGCATTATATTTCAAATACTTTGCTTTTAAGTTCTAATCAAATGTTACAAAAAGAAGGTAAAAAACTTAAACAATTATATCTTAATTTGGATGAAAAACAGTAAGTATTGTTTATAAACTATATAATAACTATTATTGTATAATTTATATTATATATATACTTACATATAACATTATAAAATATAAATTTAAGAGTGTAGTGACCTAGTGAAGTAGATAGGTTGTCAACCCTCAAGTGGCAGATCTAAGGTCCAATTTCTACAGATGTCAAATTTTAGAAATTATATTTGTATTATAGTAACGGTTTCTTGTTAATCAGTTGTGTTTTAGATATCTATAATCTTAGGTACACCAAGTTAGGTTCCACCTGATTTTAGAAGTTCAGAGCATCTATATGAAATGTAATATTACATGTACATAGAGGAATATGAAAAATCAGTATAATATAAGGTTTCAGTGCAAACCTATACTAAGATCACTAAACATAAAAGGCTAAGAAACTGAGAAGACAAAGACCTACTTGAAAATTCCAAGTAAAAAGGTAACACAAACTTTTTAATAGTGTTATTGAACTAATAGAAGCCTATAAAACACCTTTATAAAAATTGTCAGATAAACTGAATGATAAGATGTATAGAAGAGCATATGACCAACTAGGCTACTAGAATCATTAAAGGAAAATAATATATAAGTATATTATACTGGGTCATTTGAATTGGAAGTTTGAGGAGTTTAGAAGATAATGAAGAAGAAGTTGGAAAGATGGATACTAGGGTTTAAGTAAATTTTACAAGAGTAATAGTAATTTAATAAATAACTCTAATTAGAAGTATTGGTCTTAATCATAACATCAAACCAGGTTAGTAGTAAAAGAGAATATAACTTGTTTTAATAGGTTTGCTTTAAGAATAAAAATAGTCTAAAGATTATAGTTCTATGATTAAATGTGAATATATCTGGGTCTGTGATCTGATAAAATTAATACTAAAGTCAGATTAGAAGGTTTAAATAAAACATTTAAGCAAGGGTGTTAAGTATGGCAACTAGTAGAAAACCCTTAGACAAATTTCTTAAATAAATAATATAGAAAGTTATATATATAGTTATTTGTATACTTATTTGATAGTTTAATATAGATATGTCTATAGAAAACATATACCTAATATAAGTATTAATAAAAAGCTAGGATCAAAGAAGTTAACTTAATACCAAAAAAATAAAAAAATAAAATATAAATTTAGATTTTTTTATAAAATAATAAATATGCTAACTTTTTTTAAAAAAATTACATAACATATTTCAGATTCAAATTATTCTATATTTAGTATGATTTATCTATATATAAAAATACTAAAAAAATCATTTGCATCTTAATCCAATTAAGAAAAAACAAAGAAATCTTATCTTAATTTAATTTATAGTTATATTTTATCTAATAAAAATGATAATTTAATTAATAATAGTTTTAGTTCTATTAGTAATAATAATAATATACCAAGTAGTGGAAATTATAAATATTGGCAATATGCCTATAGACAATACTATCAATATATAAAAAAAGAAAGAAGAAAAAAACAAATAGGAATAAAAAGAAAATATCAACAAAAAAATTTACAATAAACTAATACTTCTAATAATAATAAAATTAAATATTTGTCAGTTATTAATCTAAATAGTTTATTATTAAAGGTTTAAGCTATTATTTTTTTATCTTTAGATAGCTGTAAACTATACTTTCAGATTCAGCTTTAATTGTATCTATTCTTGATCCACAGTTCAAAGCCTTCTAATAGGCATCTAAACAATTAGAATATGCAAAAAGATTATTTAAAAATTCTTATATTAAGATGAAAACAGCTATTGATTTATTAAATTTAAATGATTTTTCAAATAAAACAGTAAAAACTTCTACAATTTATGATAATAAAGATGAATTTTTTAGTTAATTAAAAACAATACCTCAACAATCATTAGATTTAATTAAATTGGATAAAATAATATATTACTTAACTTTAGATAGTATTGAACTTAATAAAGACCTGGCAAAATAATAACAATTGCATAAAGCTAAATTGCCAATTTTTGCACAACTGGCTAGAAAATATCTTTCAATTCCAGCTTCTTTAGTTCTGTCTAAAAGATTATTTTCTAATGCAAGTAATCTTATTATATCAAAAAGAATATAATTAGCATCAGATCTAGTAAATAAATTTTTATTTTTAAAAAAAAATAGTAAGTATATCAAAATGTTTTTACAGCAATAAGATAGCATTCTGCTTATTAGATATTTTTATATATTGGTATGTATAAATAAATATTTTTTTGCTTATCAAATATGCATATGCTAGTATTAATAAATATTTAAATAAAATGTATTATATATGCTATTTGCTTATTAAATATTATACATATACTGTATATATATGTAAATCTATTTTTTTTACAAAATATTATAAGTGCAATACTTTGTCTTATTTTTTTTTTTTTTGGTATTAAGGTGAGGCCTTGCTCATATCTTTATTAGTAATTTTAGTTGTACATATTAATA